CCAGCGAAACATTTTGCCTCGCAACACTAGGCGAAACGCTGCATCAGTGTGCGCCCAGCCTTAAGACACAAAGATTGGCTTAAAAATATATGAAACATATTTTCTAGGTATTTAATTAATAAATACTGAGGTTGTCATAAATGTTATTTTTACATATACGGTATAGTTAACTTTGTATATTTTTCGCTCATGGACTGGTTGTTAATTGAAGAAACACTTTTGTGATCCTCAGAACAGTATTCAAGTACTCAATGAGATTGATTTGATTTGTAGCATAAAACATTTTAACAGCCTGAATAACTGTCTTGCCGGGAGCATTTAATTGTCGTGTCTTATCGAAAACGTCTCCTCTCAGAACTGACTGTAGTGAGTGTCCAGTCCAAGGTACAGAGCGTGACCAAGAGGCACGACTGTAGAGGTGTAGAGGACATGGGGACATTCTCCTGGACCTAGGGGTAAGTGTGGAGTGTGGGAGACTACAATGAGAACAGTACTGTCTACTGTCACTGTAGGTGAGCAACTTATGTTCTCACGGTACTTACATGATTTGAGATGCGATGTCTGTAAATAGGGAAATAATAAAAAAATATCCTGATTAAAACAGCTAGTCTTTATTCGAAACTAAGCTATTCAGATAACTATACCCTATCCTATCCTATAGTCTAAAACAAGCAAGTGTACGGACAAACTTTTATTTTTGTCCTATGCTTAGTACTTTAACACTTTACTTTGAAATGGCGACCATACTTATCAATATACGTATAGGAGCGAGGTGATGTATTGGTAGATTGTGGGGCACTAATCTAAGTGATAATAACGCAACCGGACACAGCCCCTTGGTCTAGCCTGAAGTAATGTGAAAAATTATCCAAGGTTAGTGTCTAGTGTCCAAGGAAGAAAAAACTCCACTACATTATCATGTTGCACACATCCTGGTGTTACATTCTCAAACGTAACGATGACCATATCAATGATGTGCTCAAATGAAGATTTGAGTTTAGATGCTGTGATGATGTCATTTCAAATTTAGTCGGATATGTACCATTAATTTCCTCCGATATAATACTCGTGCATAGCTTTATAGCTTTACGGTAATGACAAAGTGAGCTAAAAATCATACGTAACCAATCAGAAAATGATCAAATGACTTAATAAATAAAAAAAAACAGGGTTTTCTACTTGTCACAAACCCAAAGATATAATTCTTAATAATACCCAGGATTAATAACATGCATAAGAAAAGTCCGAAAGAAATACTTACTTTTAATTTAAATTGATTCTGATGCAATTCCAAATACTTCATGTATAGTTTCTTATATTGGTGTGCTCATGGTGTGCTCAAGCTAAGAGTAATAATTGGCTGATTTTATAACAAATCATTAGTTCATTCAATGGTGTTGTGTGTTCTATTTAAAAGGTCTCTCCTGTCATTTTACTCTTGAATAAAAATAAATAAAACTGTATGGAGTGTATACCCTTATGCATAACGAACTTATTAAATATTGTATGAATAATTTCATGATAGCATGTCTGTTGCAGAAGACAGGCATGATTAATATCATATGTACTGTAGTATGAAATACATAAACACGAAATTTACCCAACAACTTAAGATGTGTTCTGTAGAAACTGACTTATTAAGGTTTTGCGAATATTCTAAACAGTATGGCTGCTTGCTCATGTTAAAAACCGAATATGATTGCATCACATGACACAATGCATAGAAACTTACAACTGATTCGAAACTAGTTTCTATGGATTCTGAAACGTTCTCCGTTGCAACTCATGCAGTTGCCAATTAGCAAATCAGCTGTTGTGAAGCAACAATAACCTGTTCTACATTTACACGTACGAGGATGTAATATCCTCAATCAGCTGATTATCCACAGCACATAATTCGACTGTCGATATCCGCAACCAAAACTGATAATTTCCCGCGCTGGCAGCAACCCGTCCACAGTTTCTAAATGATTACTAAGGTGTTATACTGCGTGATAAAAAGTTCGCCCAGAAAAGCTCGAAAACGGCGAGAGAAGGAATTAAACAGCGCTAAAAGTGTTAAGAAATATGGGCTAAAAGTATTGGGCTGTTGTTGTTTGTTTGAAAGTATGAGAGCGTGAGATAGGCAAACACTCGTTTTACAAGACCGTTTTGCCACCAAACCAAACTTAGTGACAATATGAACTGTTTTACTTCCTAGAATTATGCAAAGAATAAACTTAAGCGTCTACTGTTCCATTACAATAATGACAAATCTAATTACACCCTCTACGTCTATAAAATATATACAATGTCATTTTAACGAAAGTTTATATTCTTTTTTTTTAAGGAATCCCACCAAAATGTAGCTACAAGTCAACAATAATCATTTATCACAGAGTAGAAATAAGTGGTTAATGACTTTGCAATGTTTATATAGGCCAAAACATATAAACACACTCATAACCACTAATCTCTTTCCTATTGCACATGGTCCAACTTGGGTATCGGATAGGGATAATACAAAAGAATTATCGTTAATCGTGTTGTTAATTTTTTGAACTATAAACAATTACAGTAATCAATGGAATTATTCATTTAATTAAGCTCTGCCTCTTGAATAAAGCACATCAGTACATTTATCTCTTTTTCCGACTTGTGTACACTGTTAACATTCAGCAGAGTATAACGAGACAATACCACAGAACCTGGTCATTCAATTCAATTCAATTCAATTCAATTCAATTCAATTCAATCATTTATTTTCACATAACGTTTAAAAATCCAGCATAGCTGGGAAACAGGTGAAATGGTCATATACATAAAATACATAAAACTATAATAACTACAAAATCAAATAAATACATCACCTAAAAAATCATTAACTTTATAATACGCTCTGTCAACCAGCAATTTGGCAACTTCTTTCTTGTATTTGTCAAACGATTCTAGTAATTTAATATTTTCAGGCAGTTTATTGTACAATTTTTTCCCTAGATATTGTGGAAGGGTTTCAAGTGAGGTAAGTCTGTGAATGGACAGTTGTAAATAGTTTTGATGTCGTGTTAAATAATTATGTGTATGGTTTTCATTCATAAAAGATCCAAGGTTTTTTTTATCAAGATTAATGTTTGCAGGATATAAACTGACGGAAGCGTTAATATTTTCAACTCTCTAAATAATAGTTTACAGGATCGTCTGGGTTTTGAAAATGTCATAATTCTAAGGATCCTTTTTTGAATTTTATAAATGGTCACGGCATTTGAGCAGTTGCCCCAGAACTCAATTCCATACATCATGTTTGACACAAACAAAGCATAATAAACAATCATCCTTGTCTTGAGGTCAGTAAAATGCTGCAGGACAGACATCTGGAAACAGACTGTGTTAAGTTTATTAGCTAGAATTGATGTATATTTATCCCAATTTAATGTATTTTGTACCTGGATACCTAAAAATTTAGTAGATGAGGTTTCATTAATAATTTCTCCCTGAATATTAATATTTAATTCAATGTTTTCTCTATCATGAGTAGTTTTGAACCTAATAACTTGATTTTTAGAACAATTAAGACTAAGTCCATTTGCTGTGAACCATTTGTTTAGATCGTCAAAAGTTTGGTTTTTCAAATTTTGTAAATTGTTAGGGCTGTTTGATTTTAATATAGCTGTTGTATCATCAGCATATAGAACAAGCTTTGAGTTTAAATTAAAAGGCAGGTCGTTAATATAGATTAAAAACAACAAAGGTCCTAAGATAGAGCCCTGAGGTACACCACAATAGCTCATATTCCATTGTTTACTCATTTTAGGTTATCAATTCTAGGAAATAGAGTGTTGGAGTAAGAAGATATAACACCCCTAAAATCCTCAAAACATAAATGCCAAAACAACATTAAACACTAAAATTAACACTTTACATTTACAATTTACTATTTATGTATATTTTTAAGGTCCTATTTCTGTAATCAACTGAAGCAATTAATGTTGGCAATTATATGAAAATAGGAAATAGTCTTTGATTCTCTCACTTAAAATTTCTTTGAAATCATATAATAAATATGTAGATTTTCAGTTTTCAAGGAAGTAGGATTTTTTATGGCTATATAGTATTTTATTGCCATTTACCATACAAAATATTTGATTTATTTATGTATGAAAATCAACCATTTACATAAAGGTAACAAATAAGCTATGTTCGAAAATTTCAAACAAAAAAATTTAAATACTGTTTTTTTTTTTTTTTTAATAAAAACTGCTTTTGTCGTGTCCCACTTAATGTATTCGATCCATAGATCAACTGACCTACTTGTATTACATTATGTAAACAACATCTATTCCATCAAGAGTTGCACATTTATATCTTTGAAGCCAAGTTCTCGTAGTAAAAACCACATAAAGACAGGTTGTACAGGCTGATTTATCTAAAGTACTACAGTAGAATCATTGCGCATCTAACATCGAGACGTGATTGTTACATTTCTGATTACTAGTCAATAAATAACAATGGCCAGCTGATTGTTTACTAGGCAATTCACTAAATCAGCTGATCGTTACCGCGCAAGTCAGTTGTGGCTCTCTGCGCAAGTTACATGTAGTTTTCTGCGCATGCTCTACTCCAAGGCCAGGCGTGAGTGATGCTATCGCCTGGTTTGTTGTGTAAACATCCATAAAGAGAATAACTAACCAAGTTACGTTCAGATTTTATCAGTAATCGATCATTATCAGAAGGTTAATGTTGTTGATAACCTTCACAAGCAGTTTTGACTATTGTTTTGTATCTGAGGTTATGAAACTAGAACTAGCATGTTGGTAAATGAGTAGTATTCGTTAACAGATTTGGGTCTCGATTTATAATTATGAGAATATTCTTGCTGTACTATAATTATAAAAAATGTAAACACTTTAGATTTTTGTCCTTAAACGTTATTAATATGGGAGTAGATTTGAATTAAGTTTGATACGCTATAAAACATTGCATCTGATTTAAAAAGCGATAAGGAAGGGGAGTAATAACATCCATTATAAATAAAAAGTATATTTACAAATAATACATTTTTACAGTATATTAATTAATTATATCTTAAAAGTAATGGAGTCAAATTTCACTTTTGTTTTCAGTGTTTAAGAAGCCAGCAATATATTTATACTGTTCACAACGTGATGGTACAAATGCAGTAAAAAGCCTTATGATACAGTACCACAATACATTATTTGCATGTAAACAAATAGTTAGTACTGAATTATTAGCTATGTGATGGGATCAGAAATTCAAAGGAATTTAATGATCTCCTTTGCAAAATCACTTATACAAGGCTATAAAGTTAGATAAATATTTTAAAACTATATTAAATATATAATATGTGATCTGTGTGGGATATCTGATTTAAAAGTGAAATACTTCCATCACAATTTGTCTGGTATTCAACATCAGTAATACAGTTTTGATATAGCCTGCCATCTGACGAGAATAGAAACTTCAGTCAATACAAAGACGTATTAAACATTAATTCCAGTTAATTTAGAGGGACAAAAAATACGAAAATAGGTTTTAAACTCACAAAATATAACACGTCACAATTTACAACATTAGTGAAAATCAAATATAATATTTTTCATCTTCTTACTCTGGTAATATGGCTATAGGATTGTTCAAAGACTTCATAAAACATAAATCAAAATAGATAAGAAATAAATTACAATACAAGGTTATCGTCATGGATGGTAGAGGCCGTGTAGGTCATATGTGTCAGGTTCGTGCTCTCTGCCAGGGAGGATGGCTCTTGCGACGGAGTACACAGGGCGTACCCTAGCTACGGGGATGAACCCGAACTCGGGACCAGCGTAGTACCAGTCGTAGAGCTGCTCCGGAGGGTCGTGGACGATGATGGCGCAGCAGACCGTCAGCGTCGCTCCTACCAGCACCAGCGGCTTCAGCATCTGCAGAAAACAATAAGAAGAGGTATGAGAGAGGGTACATCTTGCAACACTGCGCCAGCATGTACAGCTGGTAAAACCAAACCTATGGGAAAATTGGCTCACAATGTTCAGGAAAATCCGTTTCAACAATCCTAGCGGTCTTAGGGCGCCAAGACACCTGGCCGCACATTACCGCACATTCACCCCATTCCCATCAGCAGACCTCCCCTACATCCCAAATACTCTCTTCCTGATGGGGTATATTATGGCCTTCAGATTAATTCTGTCTATTTATGGGTCCGCCCGATAACAATGTCCCTTCACTCCTTTTTCCCATTAATGATGAAGACGCAGCAAACTACCATCAATGCTTGCTCAGCATCTCAGCAAAAGAAAAAGCCTGATGATGACCAAAAAGTTGCTGATAATTATTTCTTATTTATTTGAGCTAAATATATTACCATCTTCCATTCGTCCCATAGTGTAGAAGAGTGTGAAAATCGAGTTCATAATGTTAAGTAGCTTAAGCGTTTGCATTAGACTATAGTGGGACAAAGTTGATTACAAAACCTGATTCGAATTAATAATAATTTAGTTTCCACAATCACTGAATATTTTTAATAGGAAAGTTAAATATAATTAATTCATCCTAAACAACTGCGTGGACTTTCAAGCGTACGTACGATACATATACGAGCGTACATTAATAACCATATCACTTAGATAGATTTTGTTATTGTCTAGGATAAAATACATTTTTATGAAACTAAAAACTTTCATAGGTACTTTTTATACTATTTTCAAGGAAAGTTGAAGCTTAGTACTTATTGATGGGGAGATAAACCAATAGAAAACCATAAATAAATGATTGCTTTCCCATTCGTTTTTATTTAACCGTGATTAGACCACGTAACGAGTGTTGGATAGCAACTTAATCAAGGAATGCTCTTAGCAGTACATAGATACGAATGGGCATTCATGTAACTATTTATAAATAACAGAAACTCTGATAAATGTGTAGTGAGGTAGATGGACCTTTTGTACGTTTCTACAAACAATCTTCGTAACTCAGATGGGTTCTTTAGCTTTTTGGGAAAACAAAGAATGTAACTGTTAACATATCCATTTTCCCATAAAATTAAAGGAAACACCAACCTCGCACTGATCACAGCACTTGTTAGCATTTAATTAACGTTTAATTCCTCGGCTGTGATTTCCATACCCTTCATCCTCCGGTTACTGCCTAAACCTTGAATAACAATTGTTCCTTGAACATGTTTTATTTGCTTCCGGTCTGGAGACCCTCTCCCCTTCAAGGGCCGAAACGTTCCCCACGATTTGGCATTTGGATCAGTCCAGGGCTTCCCACGCGGGACTGCGCGAGTCTCACGTATATCAAACACTGCGCAAACTGCAAACTGCGCACGCGCCGTGGATCCCGCCTCTGATTGGAGGAAATGTGATTGTCACGTTTACACCGCGCTATGAAGTGTACAACGCATGCGCGTTTAATTGTTAGTTACTGGTGGTTTATTTAATCGGGTCAAGACAGGTCAGTTAAATGTGAATATGTGGTTTATGCTTATGGTATATTCGAAATTGCAAGACTTTGAATACCGATACAATCTTGTTGAAAGAGCTTGCAAAATTTTGATGGTTATTATAGTGTGAGCGTGTGAATGGAAATTGAATTGTTTAAACATCTAAATTCTGAATACAAATGCTAATTTCGATGTAAATAGATTTAGAGCCTTTACAAGTACGTTGTTTTTAGTAGGATTGACTTTTTGCAGTAGACATGATTTTAATTGGAGTTCAATACTCTCGCAGTGGAGTCTGATAACTCGAAATTAACTATTAACTTCAGAATTCGAGCAAACATAACATTTTCTCAATTCTGTTTGTCAACTATAATCACACAATCCATATTTCAATCAATGTTAAATAAATGTTGGATTTAGTTTGTACCTATTAGGTATCAAATTAAGAAATTAGTTCTGGATGTTAGGAGATTTTTCCACCACCACTTATGCATAGAAATGCTGATTAATTAAAAAAATCAAACATTTTCCATTTAATAATAATGAAAATTTTTGAAATGTTTTTATATTACGTGTTTTAGATTTTTATTTTAATTTTTGTATTTTGTTTGTTTTCACGCCAGTGGAATGTTTTACGTTTTGAAAGGGAACGGTCCAAACACTGGTCTTGTTACTTCCTAACGTCGACCTTGTAAACCTTTTTGTTAGATAGCATCATTAATTCATAGCCCAATTACAAATCTTTCAATTGATGTTATGAGAAACCAAATAAGAATTGATTGCGCTATAGTTAACGGTAAAAACGGTAAACGCATTTTTAAGAATTATTTTTATTGATACTTGAAAATTATGATTTGAGGGATAAACGAATTGCTCGTATTTTTGTTAAAATCAATGAAAAAATATGTACTATACAGACGTGGATTAGGGCGTTTAAAATAATTGAAGCGGTTGGTTTTGACTTCGATGCTGGAACTTTCACCACGTAAAAAATCTTCCCAATTGTCAAAGATTAGCAATCAGGCTGACAATTGACTCAGGATTTGTCACGAATGTTTTTAACGATTGAATGGAGCTTTGTCTCAGATTTAAAACACTTTCAGTGTAAACGACACTATCTGGCCACTGTTAGTTGGGAAAGTGTGTTGGCGAGTTGGCCAACGAATCTGTCACGCTATTGAAAACCTGCAATGGTCTGTCAAAGATTTGCCACACTGGTGACAACTGAGACAACTGTATGAAGCTGTGCTGATGGTGTCACTAATTTGGTGTTCGTGGGCTTAGATAAGGAATTAGAAACCGCTGGTGATATGAGGCGTAACCAAAACATTGGTCTGTGGGAAGATGTTGTTTCAAGAGTAGCTTTACACAAGATATTCCGTAAGTAGGAACCTTATTTAAAGTTCTTGTTTCTTGTCTACGTTGTCAACGGTGGATCGGTCTACAACACGACGAAATGTGATATAATGACCGCAATGTTGGGGTTCAAGTCTCTTTGCCCCCAATAAATTTTCATCGGTTTACTGATTAACCTTAGTCACTAACAAGACTACAAGATCGCGCCACTCATCCTACACTCATCTCCATTCATACTTGACTTAAAATACCTACTATGTTTGGTCGCCATTTCATAAAAAAGTATTAAATTATTCACTTCTATTCGTAAACTTGTTTACTTTCATCCCTTGCTTTGTTCCATACATTCGAAAATGTTTTAATAAGAAGCTGATAACCTAATTAATCTAAAATATGAAACATCCTTTCCCTATTTAATTTGAATTTTGATTTAATTTTGCATATTAAACTGTTTAACAACAACTGGGTGTTTTTCTTTTAGGATCGGAGCTTGATAATTACAACAAAACTGGATTACAACTGCTGGATAGATTCTAGCCAGTAAAGTGTATTACAGTAGTGTATTTAATATTCAAATACATGTATGTAAGGTCATACAGGTATGTATGAGTGGTAAAACACAAAAATTATATAGCCTAAAAAAATAAAAATAAACTGTAAATAGGTTATGTTAACAGCTAAGTGAAAGTCTTAGCACTTAGAATAAGGTTAAATTAAATAATTTATTTACACAAACAAATCTTATCTCAATTAAAGTATGACCGTTACGTTCCCTAGTCAAGGTTCTTGTTCCATCGCCCTCATCTCCAAAACTTCGTGACTGTTTCAATCCAAGGTGTGGCCTTTCCCTGCAGACTCTCAGACTTGGAATGGAGACATTTTACAAACGAGTTTTAATTTTGAAGTTATTTGAATACAAAACATTGTTAAATGAGGTTTATTATGTTGTACCTGTTTATACCAATGTCTATATTCTCTAACCGTCCAGTTTTCTTACATATCTTTTGAGTTTTTGACAAAAGTAATTGAAATAGACTCATGCATAAATTTCGCCTATCAATAAATATATAACCTAACTCAAGCTAACTATTTTCCATAAAAATAGTCAAATTGTCCATATAAATCCTACCTCACTACCCATAAGGAGCTACACAGCATGCTAATAAGCAAACTTAATTGTTTGTAGTTCACGATAGTTATCGTTACACTGAGATATGGAAGTCTCAGATTTGAGACTTAGGTTACAACAACACACTCATAGAAGGCACAACAAAAGGTTAAAAAGGTTCAAACTGTTATGTCCGTGAAAATGGCCAACGAACCCAGTGTTTGTAAACACTTCACATAATAACCACAGTCAATAAACAAGGAAAATGAGTGTGCACATGTATTGTATTTAGCAATGCGTCATAAATCAGTTATATAAATAAACAAATTTCAACAATAATAGTATTCATTTTTGCCTTTTCCACTGAACTCTGAAATTCTTCAACATTATTTCCGATTAAGGTTATTAATTAAACTTGTATTTGAATGTTGCAATTGAACGAATATTCAGCTCCACATAATTTTTCTTTATTTGTCCTGTAAACGTTACCTAAAGGACCACCAAAAAGAATAGCTTTGTCACAGAGGTTTCTAAAGACTGGCTAGGTAGCTCAGTGGTTATAGTGCTCGCCTAGCAATCGAGAGGTTGCCAGTTCGGTCCTGAGAAGTCAGTAGCTTTTGGATGGTTCGAAACTGGACCCAGCTGTCCCTGATAGTTTTGGGGTTCTAATAAATGATCCTGGCTACTGAAATGGCTAATTTTAGTCAGTAGAAAGTCTACAAAGATCATCTCAGACACACCCCTACACCCTTCCTTCACTCATAGCTAAAGCGCACCTAAATCGCGGCCCCGTCTTAATTTATGACATTTACAAAATTGAAAAAATTGATACATTTTAACTTAAACTATATTTCAAAATCGTAATGTATTCCATTATTTTGAATGCATTATTTTGTGAAGTCAGTGAAAAAATTTAAATTAATAGGTAATATATTTATCATAAATTTAAGACAAAGTTTGAATAATAATTTTTCTATTAGAATACCTTTCGTGTAAACATGCGAAGCTGATTTTCAAAAAACATTATAGGTAATATGTCTTGCCTTAGGGCTTAGGTCATAGGGTTAGGTCAAAGTCTTGACATGTCCCTCCACTGTCATTGTGTTTGATTCCTTTTTTTTTGTAAAAACACAGACTTTAAAATTATTATCACAGCTGATATGTGTAAAATGGTCTTCATAGAATGACGCCTCAGAATCGATTTTTCTATGTAAAATGGCACAAGACAAATCCATCCATAGAAGGAAAATCGATACAATTTTTATAACATCAATCAAAACAGTCACAATGTTCGTTATACCTATTCAATTTATGATTTTACCTCAGAAACAATAAATCTGAATTAAGTTTTATAATAAAGTATACAGCAATTGATGTAGAAAAAAAATGTATTGATTGTAGAAAGAAGCTAATGAATGAATTGAAATTGCATATATTTTCAAATGAATCTCTTTATACCATTGTCGGTATTTTAGACAAAAAGGCATTTTTGATCTTAAAGGACAGAACCCAGGGCATAAATTATGAGAGAAAAATGAGTACCCTAAAAACAAAATTAATAAAAGATTAAAGTTGAGAATAATAAATGAAATTCCACAAATCACTAAAAAAACAATCAAATCATCAACAAGTTATTAAGAAAGCTGAAGATGAAAAAAAAAACGAAAATATACTAAAGCTTGTGAACAACGACATGCATCGTTTACTCCTCTTGTTACAAGTGTTGATGGAATTTTTGGGAATGAGTTCCAAATGTTTTTAAGGGTTATGGCTGAAAAACTATCAGAGAAGTGGAAAAAACCATACAGTTTAGTAATAAGTTGGATAAGATCAAGAACAATTTGTGCTGTTTTAAGGTCAACCAGTATGTGTTTGAGGAGAACAAGAAAGAAATGGCGGTCAGCGAGAGAATTTGAAGATGGAGCTGGGATTCCAAATTTTTTTGTTTAAAAATTAATTGTTAGTTTCTAATTTTACAGTCCTCTACTCTTTTTTGTAAAATTTCTATTGTAATAAAATGATTATACTGAAAAAATCAAATCACATGGTCTAGTTAAAAAAAAAATACTAAAGAAAATTTTTTTAATTAATAAAAAATATATTAGTTAAACTACATAGGTTAAAGTAAAAAACAAATTAAATGATGTAAAACAATCACTACACTAGTTGAGCCTGCATCTGTAAAGAGCATTACCTCTGGCAGTGCAATGAGCGTATCCTTCCAGATCCTTGCTCCTCAACGAGGTCCTGACAACAACTAACACTGTCTAGCTCCACTACAATACCTCCTACCACACTCACTACTACAGTACACTCTTCCTGGAACTGACACCGTGGTATCGGGTTATATAGGTCAATGAACCAACGTGCAGTTGGACTGGACTGATGATGTACTTACAATTTAGCTGTTTATATTGATGTAAATGCATGTAAGTCATCATTTGTAGGAACAGAAGATTTTTATAAGCCCCCTTTCATCTTTTAGTAAATTTTAACATGATTTAAACACAATGCATTTGATCAGCATATGTGAAAAAATCTTAAAATCCTAATGTTGTAAAACACCATTTTGTTCTTTCAATAGAGTTTTAAAAAGGGTTTGATTGTTGTAATTAGAGTTTATTAATGTTTTCACAACATCTATATTCTATATATTAATTATGTAAGCCGATTCTTTGCGTCAAAATTGTGGGCGACTGAGAAATCGTAGAACGACAGGAGAGGTCATATTAAAGGTCTCGATCACGTGACTACGGGAAAAATTGTGAAATTCCCAAAACGTTAACACAAAATTAGATATAACGTTAAATGTTCTCCATAAGAATAGCATTGAAGCCATTTACTGCTGATTTTTTTGTTTACTTCAATACAGCTCATCGTCATTTATCAAGCCAGTAAGCAATATTACATTTCCATTACTCATTTGTCAGTCAATTTTGCAATATACTGTATACTATATCAAATCAGGGATGACGTTACCTAAAATAATTAAGGCTATATAGTTACGTCTTAGAAAGTTGAAGTCAATTGTTTTACTGTGAAATTTGTAAACTTGTTTATTTAAATTTGTATAAGTAAATAAGTTAAGCGTATGATAAGTAGTAGAATCATAGGAGACGGCTCAAATCAAAGGAATTTAACTTAGAATGGCTGAAAAATAATAAAGTTTTTGATTCTAATTTGAAGGTTATTGTTGTGTCGAAGGAATGTTTTTAAACATGAAATTACCACATTGACTAATAAACGATTAAAGATTAAATTGAGAACATCTACTTTTTTATTTCAAAACTTATTTTAAAGATTTATTTGAAATTTTTTTGTTAATTTAATAATATTTGTATTTAAGATTTACTGTAGTGTTTAATCAATATTTTGTGTGAAGCAGAAAAACCTCAAACGCTACTCTTAGAAAACAACCTGGGAATAAAGAAAGATGAAATACTTTCGTACAGGTATTTGTTCATTATGTAAGTACTATGACAAGTTCCAATGGGCGGAAAACAATATTGTTTGGAGGCGATTTTAACCAGGTACTGCTTGCTGATATCTATCATGACACATAGACGTCACTACAGGCCTCTAGTTCTGTTTTAATGGCCTTTAGTCCTGGAAATAGCTGTTAGCCACCTGCTTGATCAAATGATATTTTATTATGTACTCCTGTATTTCATGCGTATTTCTGGACACCAGCTGATTACAATTAACACTTTGGTTAAATATAACTAATTATCGGTGTAACAAATAAATTCAGAAACTAAATAAATAAAAATAACTATATTTTTGCACGGCAATTTATAAAAGTTACAAGATATGAATTGTTGAAACAATAAAAATTACATGTAGGCTTATTATTTTAGATTTGTATATGAAGCATTAGGACTACAATTGTACTAAACATGGTTAAAAATAATTGTATTACACGTTTTTCCAATAGCCAGAAAAATTTGGTTAATTATAATGTCTTTTGAATTGCTATTTACGTTATCTGTATTACTAGTATAATTCAATCCATGACAATGAATTTAAATGACATTACCCTTATATTAATTTGTTTATAGTTTTATTTATCTTTTGAAATAAAAATAAGCAGGCAAATATTAATAATGTATAATGCACCGCTCTTGTCCCTGTATTCCTAAAAGATCATATACGTATGATAAATATAAAATTCAGAGAATTTCAAAATACAAAATTCCTCCTCTCTAATTAATTTCTACTCAATTACAAAATAATGCCAATCCAACAAAATAACGATCAATCTAGTTCTCTAGACTGTGAGGGTATCCATAGGACAGCGGTCTAGACTGGGTGAATGCAGGTATGACCTAACCCAAGGGAAGTTGTCATGGTATAGGCAAGCAGGCCGAGGGTGACGATACTATATCTTATAACTTGTAACTTGACTCTGGCTGAGCCCAGGATATATATACACTTACCCCGTGTACCGTTAGACACTCTCTCACAATGCGAGCTCTGGTAAGTATCTTCAGTTAAGCACTTTTCTATACAGTAGTTGAGAATTAACTATTAAGGAAAGAAAATAAATTCACTTTAAATATGGTCTCCAGGAACAATTGAAGTTCTATTGGTAGCTTTTATTTACAGTAAGGGACGTTTTCACTTAAATAAACAACCAAATGCCCTTGAGTGCATGTTCCTGCACCACTGCACCACTGTTCATACATTGCAAATCTAAAATAATTGAAATACTTTTAAATAAAATTTACGCCACATAGATTTAAAATTTTATTTTACGTTAAAACTATTTTCGGGAAGAATGTCTTTGATAATTAACAAATTATTGTTAGAACACTAATTCATTTGGTTGGCTTGCAAAAATCCTAAAACCGTATCACTAATTTATTATGCTAAATTTAAATTGTTTAATGTAATCTACATTTTGTCCTATCTAGTTGTATTTCAACTCAAAGTTTTGTAAGACGAATCCCCTAATGTTAGAAAAATATGAGAACAACTGTTTGATGGAAGAAAAAATGTAATTATTCAATAACAAAACAAAAATGTAAACACAACAACAACAAATAGATAACAACTTAAATGTAATAGGACTGTACCAAGGCCCCACTAGAAAAAACACTGGACCCATGTTAATGAAAACTAAATTAAAACATCTGTTTGATGGAAGCAAAAATGTAATGATTTAATAACAAAACCAAAAATCTAAACACAACAACATTAAGATAACAATTTAAATGTAATAGGACTGGACCAAGGCCCCACTAGAAAAACTATTTTTTTCTAGTGGGGCCTTGACTGGACCCATGTTAATGGAAACTAAATTAAATTCCAAATAGATATGCCAAGACACTACTACTGTAAATCTCTAAAGGGTATACAATACACCAAAACGAAGTCAATATGTGTTATAATTTTAATAATAAAACCAAATTACAATGAAATGATTTCAAGTTTCCCATAAAGAAAAAATCCTGTCAATACAACAACCACAAGTAAAAAAAAAAAAACAATTTATCCTTTTCCAAACAGTTCTTATAAATGTCCGATTTAATTGATATTTCTCTAACACATCAATCAACACACTGGTCAATTCTGTAGTTAGCACTCTTTACGTAACTTATTTTAACTCCTTATGTCTAAACATCTTTTTAAAAATATATTTCTCTTTCTACAGATAGGTCTCTCGTTCATCGTTGCCGCCGTGTCGGCCGGCTACGCTCCTGTCTACGCCCCACACCCCGTTGCCTACGCCGCACCCGCTGTCAGCTATGCCGCCCCTACAGTCTACGCTGCCCCCACATACAGCTACGCTACGCCCGTCACTTATGCTCAGCCTACTGTATACCCTCAACCCAGAGTCACCTACGCTCACGCTCCTGTGAGCACCTCCTACGCTAACACCTACCGCGTAGCCAACACAGCTCGTGCCATAGTACCTGCTCCCTACGTCCCCGTGGTTCATGCTCCAGTTTTCGCTCCGGCTGTCAACTATGGATACTCAGGGTACAACCCTAGCAACGCCAACTACGCTTCCCGTGGAAACTACGCTCCTCAGACTACCTACGTGACTCCTTCCTCCACTATTTCGTCCAGCTATTCAAGTGCCTCTAGTAACTACGACTCGACCAACAACTTCTCTTCAAACTACTTTGGTAGCTACAACGGTGTAAGTGGATATTTTACTCCTTCCAACAACTACAGAGCTTCAGGATATTCAAGACCTTCTGTTAACAACAACTACGTCGCTAGTGGTTATTCCAGCCCTTCCAACAACCAGCCTACAGTAGGATATTCCAGTCCATCCAACAACTATCCTACGGTTGGATATTCCAGCTCATCAAATGCCCCTAGTGGATATTCTAACCCTTCCAACAACTACCCTGTGAATGAATATTCCAGTCCTTCTAACGGCCCTAGGGGATATTCTAGCCCATCCAACGGGCCTAGCGGATATTCCAGCCCATCCAACGGACCTAGCGGATATTCTGGCCCTTCCAACAGCCCTAATGGTTATTCCATCCCATCCAACGGTCAAAGTGGATATTCCAGCCCTTCCACTAGTTCTACTGGAAATTCCAGCCCTTCCACTAGTTCTACTGGATATTCCGACTCTTCCAACAGTCCCAGTGGATATTCCAGACCCTCCAACAACTACCCAACCGGCGAATACTCCAGTCCTTCCAACAGTTACAGAAGTGGCAACTCGTACGAGAACTAAATCTTGGTTACCAAACACAAATTTGTACATACAAAACGTAGATAGTTAGTTATTAAAAGAAAACTGCAAAGAATTTGTAACTTTTATTTCGTCCTATTACAAACCCACTTATTTTTATCAGTGCTTGGTAGCAGTTTATTTTTAAATGATTTAGAGTGCACCCTTTATGTGATTCAGTTACATACTTTGATTCGTTAACATTGCTGTGTCGATGAAGCTAATTTGTCCAAAGTCTCCTCGTGTTGTGGATGATGTATTGTAGTTTTTCTGACGTGTTTAAGACAAGAAACACATGTCTAGTTGATGTTTCAAATTGAATCCACGAAAAATTATGAATTACCTCTTTGATACTGAAGAAACAAGTAGAACGAATGTTTAAGTGTGTGAAACAAGTTTTTCTGCCAGAGATGGCGAGTTATTAACAGTTTGATCAAGTGCCAAACTTTCACTGTGGAGAATTACAATGAATTCATAATATTAGCACATAATGGTAAACCTCGCGCTGAGAAATATCACAAGTCCTCCACATATATCGGATAAGCAGCTAGATAATAAAGGCGATAATTATAGAAGAGGTTGGCGTCAAATAGCCAACTAGGTGTGATGAATAATGCGCTGGCACTAAGATTGACCATGACTGGTAAAATGGAGATTTTAAATACAGGAAAGAAAAGTGTAGTTCTATCAGAATAGCAAATTTATATTTTGTTTTTATAACACCGTCTTGACTTACTGTAAGAAAATCATGTAAAATAACGAATTTAATTTGCAATTCTTTATAGTTTTTAAATAATAAGAGAAGAAATAAACCTTTACGGGGATCATTGATGCATTTATTCAAAGTAACTTAGCACATTTGCAAGTGAAGAATTACAATATGATAAATAGTTATAAATGTAAAACTTCCAACTTGGCCAATCTATCGAAAATGCCAATTTAAAACCAAAAGTCCGTACAAGGATATATCAACGTTAGCCTTGTATTATATCTCTCTTTCTCTCTCTTGAGCACGGCGTTACCTGGTAGATATTTGATATAAACTACTTTGGATTTATTACAATAATAATCAACAACATTTAGCCCAGTCAATAAAGGGATTGTGTCGGAAGTAATTAGTGAAAGGCTGATTTTTGGCCCATCGACTATTACCATTTAGACAAGTGTTCAGCCAAAAGTCCCCGCCCCTACCCCTCTTGCTTCCCCCCCTGTGCCCCCCTAAACATATTAAGTGTAAGGGTTTCATAAATCACGTTTTTCTCGATTGTTAAACGACATATTGAATTCCAATTAGTTTTATTGTCTTTCTTATAAAATTTCCTACAATAATGTTCAGTTAACTTTCGTCGTAGCTGTTACCTTTTGTTCATTATTTGTATACAAAAGTAAAAATTTATATATTTTTGAACATATAATTTAATTTTTGTTGCCTTAACTTTTTCCGCTGACGTTTTATGGAAATATGCTTAAAACAAAAGTTGTAGCTGCTTTCATTAGCTTTAAAATGATGTATAATAGTACTTACTTTAATAAAAATCCTGCAAGGTTCAGCCGGTGTAATGGAGTATGCGTACTCAATCAGTGAGCTAAGTTGGGCTGGCGCGGTGTTGCAATACTATCATTGTTGTAATATGGAGAGTGTTTTTTTTTTTTTTAACTTAAAGTATACTAATGCATTATCTCTATTCCCTACCGCAGCAAACCTGCGAATAAGCAAATTTTCATTTACCTGGCTGGATATTTACTCAAACATTCCCTTAAAATCGTCAGAACTATTTCCTGATCAGATTATTTTCATGAATACTGTACTTAGGTTTGCTGCTACAGCCAAGGTATTGAAGAGTGTTCTTTTATCGATATGTTGATAGCTTTTTATGAAATAAATAAATCTAATTAAATATATCTATAAACAAGCAGACTACAACAGTTTTTTTATCGTCCAAAAGAATAAAATGGGAATTTTAAAACTTAATTTTTATGAATTATCTCCGTAATCGTTAGGCGTTTAACGTTACTCCAATATACAAAATTATTTATTTTTTTAAGCTCTACAAAATGGTTTGGAAAGAAATTGTAATATTTTGTGGTTTTAGGGGGGAAATGGGAATAACCAACGTTTAACACATAAAAACCCTAATTAACCCCTATTCCCATAGTCTGATCATGCTGGTTCACAAACTCGTTCGAATGAACGTAAATTGATATATTTGTACCAAATTTCATCAAATCAGATCATTTTTGTTTGAGTTATCACGCTAACTGACTCGTGTATATATATATAAAGTGATTATATATATATATATATATGGATATATGATTTTAAGTTTTAAATTTTAATTATAAATTTTAACGGCGGAGGGTGTTTTCGGCCTCTGAGGACTTCAAAATCGAAAACTAAATCGGGCCCGGGTCTTGGTCTTACCATGAGACCTACGGTAATAGTTTATTCCCTATGATGAATTTGCTAAAAGAACAACCGAAACAAAACCCCTATTTCTATCCTTTGTAATTTAAAAGCATAAAATCATTTTATATGTACGTAATAATTTTATAGGATGTTATTTTTGAACAAAATATTTGCATTATCATGATTTGAAGTTAAGAATTACTCATACATCGAATTCAAAATTTCCCCTTAAAACTTCTTTCCCCCCATATCTTATATTTTCAACACTGGGGTAAGACGACTCCTCATACACTCAGTTTTTAATTTCTTGTCTTATCAAAGCCGCAGCTGTAGAAACAATTCTCTTATAATCTTATCACCGTTATGCCTTTTTTTAAAGAGTACCAAGTTTCAGAGAAAATATTGTCCACCCTATCTCTTAAACAAACTATGGAGGATTTATTTTTATGTTTGTAGTCTAATAAGAAGTCTTTCACCAAGTGATTAAGTAATAATTTTTTGAAGTACTTCGTTTCATAAACCTGGTCTCTGCCTGATATATCTTTCATCAATTGCAAAAGGTTAGGAATACTATGCTGGCAATCATCATTTTCCTCAATGAAATCGCAAACTTTCACCTACACACGACGTATCGGTGTGAATGTGCTGTTTCAAAACATTTACTTATAGTTTGTTTAGTAGTTAAATTACAGTATGAACTCAATCGACTGCTTTCCTATTGTTTTTTGTGTCTTAAAATTAAAAAAATCGAGAGAATACAATAATGGGTAGAAACGTCTTGCTCGAGTGCGGTAACGGATCAGCTATGGAGCGCCACATAAAAATAGTACATACGGTCTCTTCACGGTTAATATCTGGTATTACATAACCATAAAGTACACGTTTCAATATATCATTTTAAAGCTGATAGCAGTTACAGTTTTGTTTGAAAAATGCTTTCATAAAATGACGGCGTTAAAAGTTTTGCAAAAAAATAAAATTACGATTAAATAAATATTTATCTTTACATTATTCTACGGATAACAAACAAACGGTAACAGTTACGACGAGATTTAACTGGACATGATTGTAGGAAATGTTATTACAAAGGGAATAAAACAATTGCAATTCGATGTAAGTTACATTTTTAATTTCCAGATTTTTGTTTAAAGATAACATCCTTTAAAAATACTACATACCTAAAAAAATAACTACATGTTTTTTTTATGATAAACTAAATAAAATTTTTAAATTAATAAAAAAATAACTTTAAATGTTATTAACTTTACATGGGGGTTTCGATTGTTTTTTTCTAGGATAATACAATAGTGTATCTTAATTTAAAAACAAATTCTCCACATTACAACAATGATAGTATTTCGCGCCAGCCCCACCTAGACCAAACCCACTGATTGAGTACACATACTGCATTACACTGGCAGAATCTTGCAGAATTTTCATTAAAGTAAGTAGTGTTATACTTATACATAATATTGATGCTAATGAAAGCAGCTACAACTTTGTCTACAACATATTTTCATGAAACGTCAGCGAAAAAAGTTAAGGTGACAAAAGTTAAATTATATGTTCAAAATATATAAATCTTTACATTTTTATACAAATAACGAACAAAAGGTAACAGCTACAACGACAGTTAACTGAACAGGATTGTAGAAAATTTTATAACAAAGACAATAAAACTAATTGCAATTCAATATGTCGTTTAACAATCGAAAAAAACGTGATTTACGTAACCGTTACACTTTATATGTTTAGGAGGGCACAGGGGGGGGGAAGCAAGAGGGGTAGGGGCGGTGACTTTTGTCTAAACTCTTGTCTAAATGGTAGTAGTCGATGGGCAAAAAATCAGCTTTTTACTAATTTCCCCTCCCTAAAAACACAGGTTGACTTGACTAACTATACCATCGATGTATATAACATAGTATATATAACATATAATATATAACATGTAAGGTTATATACATCGATGAACTATACTCGCGGATCCGCGCCGCGAGCGCTCTTGCGCCCGACGCCGCCTCCCGTTTTCGGACTGATTCTGTCAACTGGCTGCAATTAAAATACGTAAAACCTATATCATTTTAAATATTGAGAAAAACGCTAACTTTTTATATAAAACACTTGTCTCTATCTTGTCTCATTCCAATACAAATCAACTTAACACACGAAGGTTGAAATTTAAAATTGAAAAAATTTACATTCAAACTTAAATTACAAGAAAACCACTGAATATATCGATTACACTCTTATAACGTTTTTTGTAGAGAATATTTCAAGGATTGAAATGGCGAAACAAAATTTATTCTATTGCTGTTTGTTTCTGAGATATTGATAAATTGATAAAAGATTACACAAATAGACTTAAAAGGGTGTAGGGGGGAAAGCAAGAGGGGGAGGGGCGGGGACTTTTTAGAAAATGTTCCTTATATGATCTACTAACATCCATGAAAAAATCAGCCTTTCACTAATTACTTCCGACAAATCACTATTTTGACCCTTTATTGACTGGGCTAATTGTTGTCTGGTCAAAACCTAATTTATTAATCACTGGTCAACTTTGTAGGAGTGACCTAGACCCTTTTCTTTCATAAATCAAAAGTACATTTAAGAGCATGTGATCAAGGCAGTATAAGGTTCAGTAATGTTTTACCGAACTACGTC